CTCTGTCTCTCTCTCAAAAATTAATAAACATTAAAAAAAATTAATGAAAAAATAAAAATGAGAAAAACAACCAACAATTGAGACACATCATACATGTATTAAATTATGAGTTCATAATGGTACCATAAAAAAAACCTCACTGGTCACTTTTGGAGAATGCAAGGGAACCAACTCATTAAAAGCTGGTAAAATAAAAGAGAAACAACCATTTTTCTTGCCCTTCCTGCATGAAATATATCTCTGGGTAACAAGCTGTTGTGGAAAAGTTTCTCTTTATAGAGGTATTCTACCTACTAAACAAAGAAGGAAAAACAGAATGAGAATATTATTTTCTAACTCCTTTATTAATGAAACTAGAGCAGTGCTTCTCAATCAGGGATAATTTTTTGTCCCCCAGGAGACAACTGGCAATGTCTAAAGACATTTTTGATTATCACAACTGGGGGAGTTGCTACTGGCATCCAGGGGGTAGAGACCAAGGATGTCGCTAAACATCCTGCAATGCACAGACAGCCACCTACAATTAGGAATTATCTGTCCCCAAATGTCAGTAGTGCCAGGTGTGAGAAACCCTGGTCTAGACAATGAACATCATAATTTACCTCACAAACAGGCCACTGTATGCCTCCTGATAAGAGTACTAAACTAAAAAAGAGAGAGAGAGAATACTAAACCCACTGATGAATTAGTTTTGCCAAAATAATCAAGTCTAAATCTGATTAAGTCTCTAACTACCAATTTACCAGAAATACAGGGGACTGAGAAACATGATAAATTTACCAGAAGAAGCTCAGAAAAATTCAGACTTTGAGAAACGCTACAGAACAAATGACATGGTTTCTTTAGAAAACGGGCACCTGGGTAGCTCAGGTGGTTAAGCATCTGACTCTTGATTTCAGGTCAGGTCATGATCTTGTGGTCCCCAGATTGAGCCCCACAGGCTCCACACCTACAGCAAGGAGCCTGCTTGGGATTCTCTCTCTCTCCCTCTCTCTCTGCCCCTCCCCTGCTCATGCTGTGTGTGTCTCTCAAAATAAATACATAAACATTAAAACAAACAAACAAACCGGGGCTCCTGGCTGGCTTAGTCAGTGGAGCACACAACTCTTGATCTCAAGGTTGTAAGTTCAAGACCCATGTTGGATACAGAGATTACTTTAAGAAAGAAAGAAAGAAAGAAAGAAAGAAAGAAAGAAAGGAAGGAAGGAAGGAAGGAAGGAAGGAAGGAAGGAAGGAAGGAAGGAAGGAAGGAAGGAAGAGAAACAACTTTAAAAAGACAAAAACAGTAAGGGATAAAAGAGGATGAACTTAAAGATTTAAAAAGATTTAAGAGATACATCAACTGTGATGTATTGACCTTATTTGGATTTTGGTTCAAACAATTTTTTTTTAATGTTTATTTATTTTTGAGAGCGAGAAAGAGAGACATAGAGCACGAGCAGGGGAGGGGCAGAGAGAGAGAGGGAGACACAGAATCTGAAGCAGGCTTCAGGCTCTGAGCTGTCAGGCTCTGACCCTGGGCTTGAACTCATGAACTGCAAGATCATGACCTGAGCTGAAGTCGGATGCTCAACCAACTGAGCCACCCAGATGCCCCAAACAATTTCTTAAACTAAACATTTATAAGATAATGGGGGAAATATGAGCAAATAGACATTTGATATTAACGAATTATCAGGCTTTTTGGGGTGTGACATGGTACTGTGGTTTGGTTTAAAGAAGAATCCTCATCTTTCAAAGGTAACATACTGAAATATTTATTGATGAAATGCTATATCAAAAATATACACCAAATAATTAAGTGGAAGGAGAGAGCAAGGGTATAGAGTTAGATGAAACAAGATTGGCCATGAATTATCATTGGAGAATCATTAGCATAGTAGGTACATGAAAGCAGGTACTTTCACCTCGGTCAGATCACTTATGGCAACAGTACAAATGAGGCATAGACAAGTGATTTTGCACAAGGTTCTCCAACAAAATGGTCTTACCCAAGGTAAATAAACATTCATTGTTTTATTGTTTGTTCTTTCTTTTCATATTTGACATTTTTCCACCATAAAAGTTTGAAAAACAACCACAAAAGGATCTTCTAATAGCTTAAATTAAGGAATACTTAAAACTTATCTTAGCAGACCCCTCTGTACTACTTAATGCTGTTCATTATTTCACTTTCCCTAAATTCCCCATTCCTTGGATTCCATGGCACCAGCCTCTCTAGATTCTCTTCCTATCTTTCAGCTTGATTCTTCATAGTCTCCTTCACGGAATTCTTTTCATCCACACACCCTTTTAATGTTGGTGATTCCCAGGATTCTTGTCAGCCTTCTCCCTCTATACACTCTACTTGGATGATGGCATCCACATTCATGGTTTCCTTTATCATCACACCTTTACTTGAGGCAAACATCCAACTTCCCCCACCCAACCTTTCCTCCTGGATTCTTTATCTCAGTTGATATCACCAGTCATCTAAACTACAAACTTAAAAATGATCCTGGCTGATGCTTTCTCTCCACTGACCTGACTGGCTTCGGATACTAAATCAATCATCAAGTTTTCCCAGACTGGTTGAATGTTTCCTCTTCTTCCCTATTATCCCTATCCTAGTTCAGTCTCTCATCCTCTCCTGACTGAACATTAGCAGAACTTCCTTTCTAATCAGTCTCCCTGCCTCCGTACAACCACCACAGTGATCTTTCTAAAACAGGATCCTGGCTCCTCTGCTTGGAATTACTATCGCCAACAACGGTAACTCTCAAACTTGGATAAAAGGTCAGATATATGTCAATTACATTATCTATTATAATAATATTTTAACAAAATGCATAAATTCCTAGTGTTTACAGATCTCATACAACTATAAGAAGCACATTTACAAATTAAATAGTTGTGGGTGTTAAATGAACATTAACGTGATGAATGATTTTGTTTCGCTGAGATCAAATTGCCTCTGGAAGAATTACATGATGCACAAGGCCCAGGCATAGGTTGTTCTCAAGACTGGCCTATCTTCACTGGCTCTAGAAGGGCTGTGAATCTCTTCCATTCTGTCTCCAAACCTGTGCGAAATCTTCCGCTGTACGCTGCACCGGGACAGCATCCGGTCTTCTCTCCACCCTAAGGCAACGTTTATAATCTGAGACTGTTTTTTCTCTTCTCATTAGCCCTGGACAATTAAATAGAACTTGGCTCCAACTCTCATAAACACCGGACAGGACTCTGTTAGAAGGCGAGCACGCACACGGACGCAGAATGTGCTTGCCTTAATTTCCTTTTCATCTTACCACAGAAACAGAAATGCAATACTTGAGAATTTTTTTTAAAGAACTCTGCCTTCTTCAAGCCCCTCTAGCTCCCGAGAGCTGCAGGCTTCATTCCCGCCACCCTCCATTCCGCCGCTAGGTGGCAAGCTGCTCACAGCTGCCCGCAAACGCTCGCCTGGGAGGCGTCCTCCGGATGGAGCGTCGTCACTCATCCCTGGCGATAATTGGCTATTTCGCCGACCCCCGGGGGGAGGAGCCAGCAGAGAACCGGAAGCGTTGGGTTCGGTGAGTGCACAGTGCGTGCGCATTCAGGGCTTAGCACCGACTTAAAAGAGGCAGACTGCAGCTCCTCCTCCAGCCTGAGGGGGCAGACCGGATTCCTACAAGGTGGAGGGCAGAACCTCCAGAGAGGGGTCACACTGATAAGGGCTGGGCCACATTGAGGGGAGGAGTCACGTTGAGAGGAGGGGGTCACAATGACCGGTGTAGTCACTCTGAGAGGTGGGGTCTCATTGTGTGGAAGGAACACACAGAGGAGGGGTGTCTCACTGAGAGGTTCTGATACACACTGATGGTGGCAGTATCATACTGGGGAAAGGTCCCTCTGAAGGGGGCGTCTCACTGAGGAAGTGAGGGGTCTCCGAAGGAAAGGGCTCCTGGAGGGGCGGGGTTTTGCCGAGGAGTGGGATCTCGCGGAAGGAGGGGCTTCCGGGCAGGTGGAGGCTTCTCTGCAGAGAGATAGGGTCATTTGGAGGAAAGAGTAGGAGGTTGAGGCTGGGTAGTCACTGGACGGATACTCCTCTCTTCCTCTGAACTTTATTCGAGGGAGGCGGGATGGAGTAAGGAGGTGTGGGCCACATCAGGGACGGGCTGGCCACAGGCTCACGATACAACTGCCCGAGAAGGGAGAAAGTGTCAGGGAATCCAGGGGTGTAAGGGTCGAGACCTGGGAAATGGGCAGGCTGGAACAGAGCGCGGGCCGGAAAGGCAGGCAGGTTGCTGGGCTACCTCCGATTGTGGCTAGACCTGAAGTGTCTACTTTTCTGCCCTGCTGGCCCACGGAGCCCAGGAATCCGGCGGCTTCCTGAGCTCGGCTCTCTGTAGACAGTGGACTGAGGGTGGGAGGAGAGAAAGGACACCCAGGGCAGCTAAAAAGGTATTTGAGCTGCGCGGACGCACAATCAGCCCATAATTCCCTTCAGTTATTTAGCTCGGGCCTGAACTTATTTGGCCCCGACGTCCCAGACCCTCTCGCCCAGGGTGTCGCTGCCACGGGTTAGGGGTTGCGTACCTGAGGGGGCGTGGCCGCTGCCGGTGGGCCGGGCTGGAAGGAGTTAAGCGGAGGCCCGGCTCAGCCCCGCCCCTGGCAGGCCGCGGAGCCTGAGCCCCAGCGGCGAAGCGGGGCAGCCGCCGCCCGCCCGCCAGCCAGCCCGCCTCCGCCTGCGGGGAGTCCGCCCGCTTGCCCGCCGGCGCCCGGGAGAGCCACTGCCACCGCCCGGCCCAGGCCCAGGCCCAGGCCCTGCGCCGAAAGAAGCGGAGCGGCGTTTACCCGGGCCCTGCAAGCCGGCGCGGCGGGGGCGGGCCCAGGATCTTCCGCTGATCTTCCATTCTCCCGGGCGGGAGCGGGAGCCCCTGCGTCCCGAATCGGGCTGGGCGCGCGCCCATGGCAAGCGCGGCCTGCCCGGGCCCCGGGGACCCTGCCATGTGAGGCAGGCCGGGGCTGGGGGCCCGGCCATGGCCGGGGAACGGCCCCCACTGCGGGGCCCTGGGCCAGGGCCCGGTGAGGCGCCGGGGGAGGGGCCCCCGGGGCCGGGGGGCACGGGTGGAGGCCCGGGCCGGGGCCGCCCCTCCTCCTACCGGGCTCTCCGCAGCGCTGTGTCCAGCCTGGCGCGCGTGGACGATTTCCACTGCGCCGAGAAGATCGGGGCCGGCTTCTTCTCTGAGGTCTACAAGGTAGGATCAGCAGAGAGGGCAGAGGGGCGGGACCGAGCCTTAGACGGGAGGCTGGAACTAGGGGCCCCAGACCCGGACGACACTCGCGACCTGGCGAATCTGCACTGGACTCGCCGGCCCATGCCGCCCCCAGGTTCGGCACCGACAGTCAGGGCAAGTCATGGTGCTGAAAATGAACAGACTCCCCAGTAACCGGGGAAACACGCTACGGGAGGTGCAGCTGATGAACCGGCTCCGACACCCGAACATCCTAAGGTGAGCGGCCTCAGCCGCTTGCTGAGAAGCTTGCTGGGAGAAGAGGAAAGATCCCGCGGGAAAAGTGGGAACTGTAGAGGGGTCTGGGTTCTTACAGCCTACCCTCCTATCTTCCCCATCCTCTTCCAGGTTCATGGGGGTCTGTGTGCACCAGGGGCAGCTGCACGCTCTTACAGAGGTGAGGATGGGCCAGGAAGGAGGGGACCCCCCACCATCACCATGGGGAGAGAGAGTCAGCGCCCGATGCATCTACAGAGGAATAATGAGAGGCAGCAGGACCTCCTCCCATGGGAGGCTTCCTGAACTTCCCTTTGGGCTAACCACAAATAAAAGGCCTCAGTTGGTCACATTCCCTATATGCTCTATAACAATGTTGTCCAATAGAACTTTTTGTAGTGATGAAAATGTTCTGTAGGTACATGTGGGTAGGTAGCAGTAGAAATATGACTAGTGTGACTGGAGAGCTGAATGTTTAATTTTATTTAAACTTAATTTAAATTTAAATAGTTGCACAGGTCTTGGACAGGACAGCTCTAGAATATGAGCGGGAGATCCTAGCGCACAGACTCACCCTTCTGACCTTTGCGATCCTCCTAAGTGTCCCCTGGCTTATAAGTAGGAGACCTGCAGTACAGGCAGAAACCTTGACATTCATTCCCCTTCTACTCCCATTATGCCCCAGTATATGAATGGGGGAACCCTTGAACAGCTGCTCAGCTCTCCAGAACCCCTGTCCTGGCCTGTCAGGCTCCACCTGGCTCTGGACATTGCCCGCGGCCTGCGGTACCTGCATGCCAAAGGTGTATTCCACCGAGACCTAACATCCAAGGTAGGCTGGCCAGGTGGATGGAGGCATGAAAGGGGATTTGAAACTATTACACTGTATCTGACCCATGGATGTTGGAATGTGGATAGTAGACATATTAGGATGTTGGGGTAGCAAAGCATTGGAGAACGGGGGACTGGGGTGAAGAGGAGCTCTAAGGGGCTGGTTACCAGCCTATGTTTGCAGTGATAGATGAAATTGCAAGATTGTGGTGCATTAGAGAACTGGTAGATCAGAGAGGGTTGGGGTTCTTCTGGAGTGACAGGGCTTTGGGGTGTATATTGGGAGATAAGAGAACAGAAGGTGATGGGTGTATGGGGATGCTATGTGTGTGCCAGAACTGTCTGATCCGACGGGAAGACCAAGGCTTCACGGCTGTTGTGGGTGACTTCGGGCTGGCTGAAAAGATTCCTGTGTATAGGTGAGGTGAATGCCCCTGTGCTACCTAAACTTTCTAGAAGGCCCCTATCTAAATGAAGCCTCCAGAGACATTTCCCTTGGAGTGGGGAGGGGGCTGACCTCATCCCCTTTTGTTTAGGGGGTTATCTGAGTGAGCTGTTTCTGACCTCTCTGCCCCTACCCCTGCAGGGAAGGGGCAAGAAAGGAGCCATTGGCTGTGGTAGGTTCCCCATACTGGATGGCTCCAGAGGTGTTGCGGGGTGAGCTGTATGATGAGAAGGTAAGACATCAATCCTTCAGATACCCAAGGCCTTCCAGAGACCTTCGAGATACTTTTATAAGGTCCCATCCCAATTTCCTTAACAGCCCTACTGAATATTTAGGAGACCCCCAAGATCTCCCTTCCCCTTCATAGGCACCCCTCCAACACATGAAACTATCAAGACTTCCCCCCAAATTCTGACATATTCTGACAAAATTCTGACATGAAAACTGTCAGTGTCTTCCACTGACATTCTCTCCTCCCCCCCAGGCTGATGTCTTTGCCTTTGGGATTGTCCTCTGTGAGCTCATTGCACGAGTACCTGCCGACCCAGATTACCTACCCCGTACTGAGGTGAATGATGTCTCCAGGTTTGAAAAGGAGGAGCTCTAGACTGGTTCTCTGGAGGTTGAGGTCCTGACTGGGGGGCAGAAGGAGAACCCAAGGAAGGCTGACTTGAAGGCCCCTCTTCTCTGTACCCGCAGGACTTCGGCCTGGATGTGCCTGCTTTCCAGACCCTGGTAGGGGATGACTGCCCACTGCCCTTCCTGCTCCTGGCCATCCACTGCTGCAGTGTAAGATCCTCACTCCCTTTCCTTGCCTACCACCCACATCCATCAGCTGGCAAGGCTTTCCTGTCCCAGGTGGTGAGAGGAAAACTTAGGGACCCTCTTTTGGAGCAATGAATGAAGCTGCCCCTTTCTCTCCCCATCAGATGGAACCCAGCACTCGTGCTCCCTTCACCGAAATCACCCAGCACCTGGAATGGATCCTTGAGCAGCTGCCTGAGCCATCCCCCCTCACCAGGGCTCCCCTGACACACAATCAGAGTAAGTGAGCATGACCTTGACCCAACATAAGTCCTTTTGTGTCTCTTCCCTAGGACTGAGGGAATTGTCTGGGGAAGACTAAGTGTATTTATTAGCTGAGAAGGCTGTGGGTGGGTGGTGGTGAAAGGACATCTCAAAAAAAGATATTTTCAAATTCTAGAGCCAAGGAAGGAGAAGGAGGAAAGAAGAGGTAAAGGAGGGCTAGAGGTGACATCTCCCCCTTTCCAAAGTACCCAGTGGAACTCCCTTTTGTAAGCTCTAGTCCCACCAGCCTCCTGGTGAATAATGAGGCCTCAAGGAACTATGATCAATGCTAAGAACAGTAACCACACACTTCTCTGTCTACAGGGTCTGTTTCAAGAGGGGGTCCGTCTGCCACACTTCCTAGGCCAGACCCCCGGCTTTCCCGAAGCCGGTCAGACCTCTTCCTGCCCCCATCACCGGAATCACCCCCCAACTGGGGGGACAATCTGACTCGAGTCAACCCCTTTTCACTCCGGGAAGACCTCAGGGGAGGCAAGATCAAGCTGTTGGACACACCCAGCAAGCCAGTCGCCCCCCTGCCCCTTGTACCACCATCACCACTGCCCTCCACCCAACTGCCCTTGGTGACCACTCCAGAGACCCTGGTCCAGCCTGGGACACCTGCCCGTCGCTGCCGCTCGCTACCATCATCCCCTGAACTTCCCCGACGTATGGAGACAGCACTGCCAGGTCCTGGCCCCCCCACTGTGGGCCCCTCGGCTGAAGAAAGAATGGAGTGTGAGGGCAGTAGCCCTGAGCCAGAACCCCCAGGACCAGCTCCCCAGCTGCCCCTGGCCGTGGCCACAGACAACTTCATCAGCACTTGTTCCTCAGCCTCCCAGCCCTGGTCCCCTAGATCAGGACCTACCCTTAACAACAACCCCCCAGCTGTGGTGGTGAACTCCCCACAAGGCTGGGCTGGGGAGCCCTGGAACCGGGCCCAGCATAGCCTGCCCCGGGCAGCAGCCCTGGAGCGGACAGAACCCTCGCCGCCCCCCTCAGCTCCCCGGGAGTCTGATGAGGGGCTGCCCTGCCCTGGCTGCTGTCTTGGCCCGTTCAGCTTTGGCTTCCTGTCCATGTGCCCCCGCCCCACACCAGCTGTTGCCCGCTACCGCAACCTGAACTGTGAGGCGGGCAGTCTCCTCTGCCACCGAGGGCACCATGCCAAGCCTCCCACACCCGGCCTGCAGCTGCCTGGGGCACGCTCTTAGCAGTAGAGCCTGTGGTCTCTGGCCTCCAACCTTGGCCTTCAGGATGCCCTGTGAGGACAGAGCACACATATTGGACAGTGCCAGCCCCAGATGGGCTGACCGGCTCTTCTCCCCGTGTAGGGGAACCTCAGCATGGACTCAAGGGACAGAACATTTCCTATCTAGCCCCTGGGCTTGCTCTCCCGTGGGCAATCACTGAACCAGACAAAGCATTGCTGACACATGAGACTAACACGTGCAAATTATTTAAAAATATTTCAATAAAACTGCCTGGCTGGCTCCGGGCTGCCCCTATCCACTCAGCCCATGCGCCCTCCTCCACCCCGCCCCCAATTCCACTATGGGAAGTTCTTGGGGAGGCCAAAATCTCTTCTAGAGACTTCTTCACCCACTTTCCCAGGAACAGTCCAGTTTCTGGGACAGGATTTCAAGCAGGCGGCAGGCTGGCTAGAAGTGTTGGGCATGGATCAGCCCTTGCCTGGGCACTGCCCACAGAAGAGTGAAAGAACACTGGAGGGAGATGATCTTAGGTCCTGCAGGCTGCAGTTACAGGTGAGGGGCACAGGCTCTTGTTGGCACGTGTACCTGTAAGAGTGAAGCATCAGTGAGCTCCACGTTCACTGTTATTAAGAATGCTCATCCAGCTCATCCCATCTTCTCAGACAGCCAAGAAGCCTCCCTCCAGTTCCAGGCCTTCCCTGCCCAACCCCCCCTTACATAAGCAGACCAAGGCCCTGAAGTCTGTGGAGGTGACTGTCACTCTCAGGAATAAGTTTTTCCCCTGACTTCTGAGCCCCTGCTCTGAGATCCTCTCCCTCCTCCCTCCCCAACTCTCGTGCCTCAGTCCCATCCCTCGTGCTTACCCAACTCAGGGCAAAGAGTAGTCCTTATCTGGATTCCCAAAAGCTGCCATCTCACAGATGCAGGGAAGATGAGAAGTGCAGTCCTCCTGCTGCCACTTTGGCCAACTGGTTTGTACCTTGTAACATCTTGAGCTTCGACCATAATACCTAAAGATTGGTGAAGTAGAACTGGGATAAAATTCTGCCCCTCCCACCCCAGCCCCCCATTTCACCCCA